CAAACGGAACCGCATAAATACGATGACACCAACTAGACTAAGAGGGGAGAAAAGATTTTCTTACCTGATGTGTGGAATCCCGACTCCACCTTGAAGGATCTTGTACAGCTTGCTTTCGTATAGGAGCTGTGGATGTCTGGCTTTTTGGGATTCTAGTTTTACAGCTACCTCCTACAAATCACACACAACATAGTAGCTGTTACCGCTGCAGTTCAAGAATTGAGATGACAAACACTTCCGATATACCAATAGGCTAACATGAAATCTTCTTAGTTCTCCGGCAAACAGGCAGGGCAGTGTTGCGATCTGCCTGTCATAGTAAGAATCTAAAATGAACCATCCCATTCCCAAACAAAAACCCAGAAACAGACTGATTCACCAAGTTACCTCTCCATTTGTGATGTTGATTGCCAAATAAATGTCGCCGAAAGATCCCGATCCAATTTTTCTGACGAGCTTGTACTTTCCACCGACTATGAACTCGGCTTTGGAACCACTGCTGCTGGCCATAATATCAACCGAAGAACAATTACCAACAGAAAAGCTTTAAGATCTTTGCGTTTGTTGGTCAACCTTGGTTATCGGTAGAACATAAAGTTGCGTTATTAGTAAAACCACCGCACAACCTCTCACAAACAATTTCCCCCCCCCCCAAATACGAAAACGATTATTTTCAGTGGATCTCGACCAGCGATATTGGTTTTGTCATAAGCTAGAACCTATAATTTCTCTAGAAAAATGTCGTGCCAAACAGAAGGAGTAAATCCAAAACTAAATCCCAACAAGCTGAAGGCCTTTAACAAGAAGCTAACGTCAGCACAGCAAAGTTTAGCATAAGGCTAACGTTGTAGCGAGCAGCAACACTGAAAAGTGTCCCAAGTTTCTGTCACAAGGAGCTGAAAGCAACGCTCCCGATGATGGTAATGGTAGTTCTACAGTCTCTTAACTGCTTTTCCGGCTAACTTTAAGAACCGCAACCGTCTATACAAAGCGCAACCCACTCACTCCGCCATCTTGTCTTCTCTACCCTTCCTCAACTGGTTTCAGTTGAAGGCGATTAGCTATGCTGTCTCATGGCCCCTTCAAGTGCTGTTGGGAATTTCACAGCTATCAGGAGCAAAACACGATTTCTAAAGCATAAATTAGCTACCTTATTTTTATTATGTAAAATTATACATCATATTTATTTTTATTGCCTTTCTTGGTTCATTTAAGTTGGTAAATTATGTGATGTAGCTTCCTGTGTTGTACAACTAATTTTTACGTGAATAAGTAAAATAAAAACAATAGAAAAGAATAGCGGGGCAATATCTTTATTGCACATGTGTCAAACTCAAGGCCTATGGGCCAAATCCGGCCCGCCATAGCTGTTTATGTGGCCCTATACATTCTAGAATAAACACTAAATGTGCTTAAATATTAAGCTATCAGTCAAATCAATGCAGTTTTTATCTCTTTACTGCCAAATTATATCAATCAGTCCCTCTAGTTTCTTGAGAGTTATTGTGGAAATTCATGCAAAATCAGTAAAATCCCTGCACTTTTTTGCATTAATACATAATTGGGAGTTTATTGCAGATTTTTCTCAAAGATTTCTAGAAACTTTCTTACTTGTACTAAACAGCTAACTCAGCCTTAATTGAGTTTAGATTATAGTCCATGATCTATACAGTGAGTAATAAAAAGTTGTATTTACCATCATAAATAAGCTCAAATATCGCAAATATTTCCAAATTAGTACCACAAACACTTTGAGTTTTATTGCAAAAAATCACAAAAAGAATCACAAAATCCTGAAGGGACTGAAAAGATGTTCAATAATAAACATCTTCCCAGAATGTTTTATCAAAACAACCTAAAAAAAAAAAAAAAGGCTAAACAACCTGATAAAGATGTTCTGGGGACAACTGTGGAACCTCTGGAGATGACTGTACAAAGAAGGATTTTGCATAAAATCAAGAGAATTATGGAAACCCTGAGAATCCTCTTCATGAGACTGTCACAGAAAGATAGTTTACTCCGTCAGAGGCTTCTTCAAATTTGTTGTAATACACACTACTGCAGGAGGGCCTGCCTGTCCGCAGCCATCGTATGGAGGTATTTTTGATGCAAAAGTATTTGTGCCTTGCTACTGTAAAGTTAAAGTCGGACAGAAAAATCCTATAGTTATTGTGGATCTTTCCCAGTCTATCACAAATACACCTCTTTGAGCACAAATACACAAACTGTTTTCTTTGAGTTGCACTTTAAAAAAGCTTACATATTCAGTGTTGCTCCAAATGATCCAAAGCAAATGATGCAAAACAAATTATCATACCCATATCTCATAAAATAACCTGCAAATATTTCTTGATCATTCACAGACACAAAACTACTGCTA